CTTTTTTTAAAAGATTCCACATATAAGCAATATCATGCAGTGTTTCTTTATCTGGCTTATAAGCCAGAAACATAATGCCTCAAAGTCCATTCATGGTGTCACAAACAGGACTTTCTTCTTTCTCATGATAATATTGCTCAGTGTGTGTGTGTGTGTATCATTTCTTCATGCATTTGTTGACAGACACCTAGGTAGTTTCTATGTCTTGGCTGTTGTGAATAATGCTGCAGTGAACATGGAAGTGGGGGTATTTCTCTGATATCCTGTTTTCATTTTTTTAAATATATATTCAGAAATGGGATTGCTGGATCATACGGTAGTTCTCTTAAATTTTTAAGGAACCTCCATACTGTTTTTTATAGTGGTTGTACCAATTTATATTCCCACCATCAGTACACAAGGGTTCCCTTTTTCCCCCCACATCCTTGGCAACAGTTATCTCTTGTCTTTTTGGTAACAGCTATTCTAGCAGATGTGATTTTGATTTGCATTTCCTTGGTGATTATTGATGTTGAGCACCTTTTCATGTATTTGTTGGCCATTTGTATGTCTTCTTTGGAAAAATGTTTATACAGTTTCTCTATTTTTTAATCAGTTTGTTTTTGTTTTTGTTTTGCTATTTAGTTGTGTGAGTTCTTTATATATTTTGGATATTAACCCCTTATCAGATAGATGATTTGCAAATATTTTCTCATATTCTGTAGATTGCCTTTTCATTTTGTTTCCTTTTCTGTGCAAAAATTTTTTAGTTTGATATAGTCCTACTTGTTTATTTTTTGCTTTTGTTGTCTTGGTTTTTTGTTTTTGTTTTTGTTTTTGTTTTGTCATATCTAAAAAAAAAATTGTCAAGACTTTACATCAAGGATCTTACCACCTATGTTTTCTTCTAGAAGTTTTATGGTTTCTTAATTTGTTTTGAGTTGATGTGTGTGTAATGTGTAAGATAGGGTTCTAGTTTCATTCTTTGTTATGTGGCTATCCAGTTTTCTCAGCAGCATTTATTGAAGAGGTTATCCTTTACCTATTTTATGTTCTTGACTCCTTTATTGTAAATTAATTGACTCATATATGCATAGGTTTATTTCTGGGTTCTCAATCCTATTCTGTTGAGCTGTGTGTCTGTTTTTAGGCTGGTATTAGACTATTTTGATTACTATAGCTTTGTAATATGGTTTGAAGTTTGGAAGTGTGATTTGATTCTTCTTACTTTGTTGTTCTTTCTCAAGATTGCCTTGACTTTTTGGGGTCTTTTGTGGTTCCATATAAACTTTAGGATTGTTTCTTCTGTTTCTGTGAAAAATGCCATTAGAGTTTTGATGGGGATTGTGTAGAATCTGTAGGTTGCTTTGTCTGTAGAGACATTTTAACATTATTGGTTCTTCTTTCTGTGAGCATGATGTATTGTGTCTTCTTTTATCAGTATCTTAAAATTTTCAGTGTACAGATCTTTCACCTTGGTTACATTTATCAAGTATTTTTTTCTTTTGATACAATTGTGAGATTGTTTTCTTAATTTCTCTGATAATTCATTTTTAGTATATGGAAACACAACTGATTTTTGTATATTGACTTTGTATACTGCAGCTTTATTGAATTTGTTGACCAAGTAATACTTCATCTTTTTTTTTAAAAGATTTTATTTATTTATTTCACAGAGAGAGACAGCGAGCAAGATAGGGAACACAAGTGTGTGGAGAAAGATAGAGAGAAGCAGGCTTCCCGCTGAGTAGGCAGCCCTATGTGGGGCTTGATCCCAGGACCCTGGGATCATGACCTGAGCCAAAGGCAGATGCTTAACAACTGAGCCACCCAGGTGCCCCAGTAATACTTCATCTTTAAATTGGTTTTTGTTTTTGTTTTTTTTTGAGTAATTTCATTCACTTTCTGGTTTCTTTGTTGTTTGGTTTATGCATATAGCATTAAAAAACAAAACATCCATCTGTTTGACTGTTACAGTCTGCTCTTACACTCTTTGCTCTGGAAAGAGCATATATGTTCTCAGTAGTCAGTAGTTTCAATTATCAAATGGGGAAAGAGGAATTGAACTCTTTTTTTTCCCTTTTTTTTTAATTGACAAGGAGATGCAGCATTGGTTACTTTCATTGAGGTTGTCTGAGATTTGAGGAGAGAGACCTATTTTTTAGGCCATGCAGGCAAGTGTTTGGGTTTTATGAAATTCCCAAAGGTGAGTACTAAACTACCCAGGGATCAAAAAACCATTTAGGTTATTTTAATTGAGTAGAAATTCCCTGAAATTGATTCAGCCATAAAAAAGAATGAAATCTTGCCATTTGCAACAAGATGGATGGATCTAGAGCATACAATGCTAAGTGAAGTCAGTCAGAGAAAGATAAATGCCATATGATTTCACTCATATGTGGAATTTAATAAACAAATGAACAGAGAAAAAGAACAAAATAGATTGTTAAATATAAAGAACAAACTGGTTGTTACCAGAGGGGAGGAGAGTGGGGAGTTGGGTGAAATAGATGAGGGGGATTAAGAATACACTTATCTTTAAAAAAAAAAAAAAAAGAATACACTTATCTTGATGAACATTGAGTAATGTTTAGAATTGTTGAATTCTATATTTTACACCTGAAATTGATATAACACTGTATGTTAATTGCACTAGAATTTAAAAAATTAACTGAAAAAGGAAGTCCCTGAAATTGATATTTTTCTGGAGTTCTAGAAACATATTTTGGAATGTTAGGATAGATTGCTTGAACTTGATGTGATGGCTACCAGTTTATTTTATGTGTAGGTAAAATAACTCTCAAGCTTCTCTAAAGTTTTTGGGATGATAATTTACTACTTGAGAAAGATATAAAGGTAAAAATAATCTTCAGTGACAAGAAATTCAGTTCTTCCTAGGTCAGCCCATTTCATGTTTGAATTGTTCTCAATGGGAGCATTATTATGTGTAGTTAACCATGCTTCCTATGAACTGAAGTGAGGAAACTTGGGATCACATGTTGTGCCAGCTTGTACTGCATCACTTCTGTTGAGTTACTTCTCTGTGCCTCAGGTTTCTCATTACTACAGTGGAGGACAGTAACACTCGATAGAGTTGTGGGGTTGAGTGAGCAGAGTAGTTAGTACTTAGAATAATGCTTGGCACAGAATAAGCAGTAAGTGTTGTCACGTCTATTATTGTTATTAATGTATTTGTTTTAATGATTTTGAAACTTGACTCCAAGAAATAGTTAAGAGATTGTCAACTGTCTCTTTGATTTCTAGCATATAGGCTGTGTGTCATCAAGTAAAATAGAGGACATAGGTTTGGTAGAGGAAGGGAAAGAAGATGCTGAGTTTACTTCTGAACATGCTGAATTTGAGGTGTTTGTGGAACAATACTATACTGAGATACATGAATTTGAAGAAAAGGGCAGAGTCCTTGGCACATGGTTGATAATTACAACTATGAGAGACGGGCTAGATAACTTAAGGATCTACTTTGGTTATAGATTAGAAACCTGGGGACCCTAAACTTTAAAGAACAGGTGAAAGCTATAAAGCATACCATCTGAGAGTTAGTAGAAGAAACTGGAGTGAGAAGTGCCACCAAAAAGAGAGAGTAATCAATGTTGTCTATTGCAACAGAGATTGCAGTGATCTGAGAATTGGAAGGTATACATGCTTGATAATTAAAGGGTCTTTTGTGAACCTTTGGTTTCAGTTTAGAGGAGTGGAGGCAGAAGCCAGATAGCAGTGATGTTAGAAGGGTGAAAGAGGAGGAGGCACAGACAATAAATGTACAGTACTGTTTTGAGAAATGTTGGTGAGACAAATGTTGAAAACTAAAGGAAGATGGACAGGATGTTGATGGGCTAAGGAAAAGGAGCTATTAGAAAAGAAAATGGTTGAGTATCAGGAGAGTGTAGAAGAGGTGAGTTCAAGGCCACAAGTTGGTGATACTGGCCTTGAACAGGAGAAGGGTGAAAACATCTAAGACTGGAGCGAAGAGAAATGTGGATATAACCAAGCCTTTAAGATAGAGGAAATCACTCCTATGGACTTGATTGCCCCCAAAGAAATGAAAGGGGAATTTACTACAAGGAGTCGATGGTTGACTATGTGTTGTGAGGTGAATGGTCAATGTTTAGAATAGTAATTGAGGGAAATAGGAGGGGAGGCTGACAAATTTGTTTTCTGATAGAGGGATTTTTCATCTGAGCAGTATTTGGATATTACTAGTAGTATGGATACTATGTGTTTCATGAAAGGAGAAGGACTATTGTTTCATTTAATGCCATGTAGATTTATTTAGCGTATATTATGTACAAAATACTGTTCTTTGTACTTCTGGGAGTCAAATGAATATTGACTGCCTTACTCGAGGTGGGGATGGATATGTGTTCATAGCTCATGTCTTATGATTTGTTAAAACCACAAATGTTTACCATAGCCTAAAAATGATAAATGATACATGAGCTTTGTAAACATGCTATAAGGGTTTGAAAGAAGTAGAGACCCCATTAAATAGGAGGAAATAGGAAAGCTTTATGGAAAAGACAAAAAATACATAAAATAAGGGCTACATGTGTATTTTCTGATAAAGAAATAATGAAACCAGTTATAAGTTTAATTTCTTATAGCAGTCATTTATTCTTCTATAATATAATGACTAGCATTAACCAGAAATGAAGAAATAAAGAGATTAATAAAACATAGTGAATTCTGCTCTATCCAAAAGATGTTCCAAACTTGGTTATTTTTTTGTACTGTTAAAGAATTCAGTAATCCTTTCAACAAATATTTAATGAACATCTCCTGTTAGGTACCTAGGATATAGAGAAGACCAAAATGCAGTTTGTTTCCTCAGGGAGTGCATACTCTAGTAGAAGAAACAGAAGTAAAAAGAACTTAAGTTCTATGCAGTAGATGATATGAAAGTGGTGTATATGAGTAGAGAGATTTGGGGTTACAGTGGAAGGAGGAATGAATAAATGATTACATTGCTATGACAGCAAGTTTTTTCCTTTTCTTTTCTTTAGTTGGAGAACATCAATTGACAGGCCATAAAGTGGCAGTTAAAATCTTAAATAGACAGAAGATTCGCAGTTTAGATGTTGTTGGAAAAATAAAACGAGAAATTCAAAACCTAAAACTCTTTCGTCATCCTCATATTATCAAACTGTAAGTATTTATGTACCTGAAAATGAAAAGAGAAACTGTCTTGAAATATTTCCTATGAATTTAGAAAAAATTGTGTATCTTTAGTTAACTTGTTATGAAAGTATAAATCTTTTTTAGTATTTACATTCAGCAAATATTAATTCATTTAGCCTCCATCAATCCTTTCTTGTATACTTTTAGTTTATAAACAAAAGTCATTTTTCAAAACTGGTATTGTTTTCAAGTGATGAATGCTGCCTTGGAAGTTGACTCTACTCTAGTATTCACTTTGAAGGGCACTTAGGACTTTGACATTCCTAAATTCATTTTGTAATTTTTTTTCTAGTCTTTTTTTCATTAGCATCACAGTGATTTGTTTTAGGAAAAGATAAAATGTAACTGTTTAAGATTATCCATCATCATATATTACTTCCAAAACTGCAGGAATTACTGTGACTACTGATAGCAAAGCTCTTAGGAAGGCAGGTGAATTTTTTTTTGATAGGACAAGTTACAAACTTAAAAGGTAATATGAAGAGATTGATAAAGCTGATTAATTATATTGAAAGAAATAATTTAAAATTGATTTGACCTAGAAAAAGTAGATACTGAGTATGTAACAGTATTCTTTGAAATCATTTAAAGTTGTAGTATAATATTTAGTGAGAAAATGTGATATGCTAAACACTGAAAATTGTCTTCTTTTTCATCTTAAAGCTTGGATAGAGTTTTGTAAAATAAATATTAATCTTGTTAAGTACCTGCTTATGGCTAGGAACTGTGTTGAGTATTTTACAGATACAATTTCACTTTATCCTCATGATACCTATAGAGTAGGTATTATTGTTTTCAATTTATAAATAAAGAAATTGCATATCTAAAGAGTATCAGCAATGTATCTAAGGTCAAAGAGCCAGTAAGTTGAGGAGCTGGTAGTTGAGTTCATATCTGACTCCAAATGCCGTGCTATTAGTGCTTTACTCCAGTACTCCAGTCTTTCTCAAAACAAAGTTATATGAATTCCTTTTAGGGAAAAAATAAATTTGTGGATCCCTGGTTTTGATTTATTTTTAGTATATTGTTACTTAAGTATATACTTAAGTATATTAAGTTTACTTAGTAAAAGTTAGGTATAATAAACTCCATATGCTTAGAGCTTTGACACAATTATGAAACCAAGATAAAGTCACAATTTAAATATAATACAATGAAGTCAATGAAATTCAAAGTAGTATCTGTAATATGTGATAAATAATGTTGTTTTTCAAAAACCAAATCGTTGTTATTTAAATAGTAGGACATCCTTATTTATGTTTTGATTCGAATAATATTGAAAGTAAAAAAAAATCATCATTAATGTCCCTGAGGCTTTGTTTGCTAGTTCATTATAATCAGACATTATATTTAGTCTAAACTTTGTTAGTGAGCAGTCTTTGGATGTCAGTGTTAACGAGGAACAGCTAGATAATCTGCAGAGGTACATTATTTGCCTTGGGACAAGGCTAGCATAGTAGCTGTGGTAGACTGAATCATGCCCCCCTCCCACAAGACATTCTAATCCCTAGAATCTTCAAATATGTTACATTACATGGCAAAGGGGAATTAAAGTTATAGATGGATTTAAAGTAGCTAATCAGCTGATCTTAGAATAGGGAGATTTTCCTTGTTTTTTTCTGGGTGTGCCAGTGGTCCTTAAAAGTGAAAGAGGGAGTCAAGACTAAGAAGGAGATTTGAGAGTGAAGTGAGGTCAGAGTGATAAAGTGTGAGAAGGACACAACTGGCTGTTATTGACTTTGAAGATGGAGGAAAAGGGCCATGAGCCAAGAAATGCAGGCTCTCTAAAAGTTAGAAAATAAAAATGTTTTCTTTTAGAGGCTTGCTGCCAACCTTGATTTTAGCCCAGTGAGACATGTCAGACTTATATAAAACTACAAGATAATACATTTTTGTTGTTTTAAGCCATCAAATTAGAAGTATGGCAGAGGTAGGAAACTCATACGGGAGCATTCCTGAAATCCTTACACGAGTGGCTTATCCAGTAATTACTGCTCGGATTGGGAGCATGTGTTTAGTCTTTACTCATACTAGCTACATTTATTGTTAGTGAAGTGTTGCAAATTGGTATGTTCAGTGCATCTTACCAACAATATGTATATGTGCCTAACTGTTCAAGAAGGCTTTTTCTGGAGGGGCTTGTTCTGCTGTTGGATAGCTGGGATTCTAACAGTTAGCTTCAGTGTCCTCTCATCTTCATATGAAGTTCACTTCATCGGCATAAACAAGAAATGAGGTCTCTAATCATGGCAGTGCATAACTGATTACAAGCTTATCGTCTAGGACCTATATTCCAGATGATCCAGAATATGTATATGCAGACTTTTTAAGATTAGCATAAGAATTATGCTACTAGCTTGGTAACCCACCTCTCCTATTCTTTGTTTCCTTAATTTTAAAATGGGGATGTGTTTGCAGTGGTATAATGCCTGGTATTTGATGACAATTGGCTTAAAGTAGGAATAGGTAACCAACAAGCTTTCAGTCCACTTCAGTCCACTTGCATGATTCTTAACTGTTTTTCCCCTACTCGAAACAGTTCATATCTGACTCCAACTCCATGTAAATAATGACTTGATTCTGGTTACTGAGTGGCTTCTAAGCTAAATCTCTTTGCTCTTCCTTACTGAGCAGCCACTTCTATAAGAGGAGAAAGCTGGAAAGCCAGACTAAAAGTATTACATGCCAGAATGAGTGTAAAGGGAGAGATCTCTGTGTTCGTCTTGTTACTTGACCTTATCCTTTTTAGAAAGCCAACCCTGAAAGACCCCAGAGAAATTTTGCCCACTTAGAGTATGAGTCCTAGTTCCTGTTCTGTTCCTATAAATGCAAATCAGATTTTGTAAGTATGCAGTTGCAACTGTCATGAGGATTTAAAAGCTTATTTTTGATGTCAAATCTACCAGTGTTTCCTTGCCTTTATTTCTGTAATTATTATTTCAAATTTTGGTTTAGCTAATTATCTTATTCTGGTTTAGAATTATTTAACTATTTGCTATTTTGTTTTGTGAGGGAGATGTAGAACATTCTCAGGGTTGATCAGAAAGTAATTAGCAGAGGTGAATTTAATGTTTAAAGCTTCTGGCTTCCAGCCTTGGGCTTAATCCATTCAGCCAGATTGCCACTTTAATTGTGGACTGAATTAAAAGAAAAAGTACTCATGTATCCTTGCTATAGAACAAGCTTATTGACATAGCCTCAACAGTGTTAGTGATTTAAACAGGGAGAGAGACCTGATCCTTTTAGTGGTTTTGTTTGTTTTGTGCAGTCTTGGACTAACTGCCAAGAATAGTCCCTTATTACAGAATGGGCCTCTAGTTTCTCTAGCAAGAAAGCTTGAAAACCAAAAACCAAGAATGTAGGATATTTATTGCACGATTTCTCTATTAACTCAAATTGTACATCCCACTGGGAGAAAATTGAAAAGAGTAAACAGGAATCAAAGGAAACTCCAAACTTTCCCATGAACTAGAATTTGTTGATTTGATTTTTGTCTTCGTTTTCTTTTCTTCCCTGTAGTTCTTAAGGAACTTCACTTTTTTTTTTTTAAATTAACATATAACGTATTATTTGTTTCAGGGATACAGGTCTGTGATTCATCAGTCTTACACAATTCACAGCACTCACCATAGCACATACCCTACCCAATATCCATCACCCAGCTACCCCATCCCTCTCACCCACCCTCTCCTCCAGCAACTCTCAGTTTGTTTCCTGAGATTAAGCATCTCTTATGGTTTGTCTCCCTCTCTGGTTTCATCTTGTTTCATTTTTTCCTCTTTTCCCCTATGATCCTCTCTCTTGTTTCTCAAATTCCACATATCAATGAGATCATATGATAATTATCTTTCTCTGATTGACTTATTTCATTTAACATAATACCAGCTAGTTCTATCCACGCTGTTGCAAATGGCAAGATTTCATTTTTGAAATCTGCATATTATTTCATTGTGTGTGTGTGTGTGTGTGTGTGTGTGTGTGTGTATCCATTCATCTATCAGTGGACATCTAGGCTCTTTCCGTGGTTTGGATATTATGGACATTGCTGCTGTAAACATTGGGGTGAACCTTCCCTTTTGGATCCCTACATTTGTATCTTTGGGGTAAATACCCAGTAGTGCAGTTGCTGTGTCATAGGGTAGCTCTATTTTCAACTTTTTGAGGAAACTCCATACTGTTTTCCAGAGTGGCTATACCAGCTTGCATTCCCACCAACAGTGTAGGAGGGTTCCCCTTTCACCACATCCTCACCAACATCTTTTCCTGACTTGTGTCTGTTGGCCATTTGGATGTCTTCTTTGCAGAAATGTCTGTTCATGTCTTCTGCCCATTTCTTGATTGGATTATTTGTTCTTTGGGTGCTAAGTTTGATAAGTTCTTTATAGATTTTGTGTACTAGCCCTTTATCTGATAAGTCATTTGTAAATATCTTCTACCATTCTGTCGGTTGTCTTTTGGTTTTGACGGTTTCCTCTGCTGTGCAAAAGCTTTTAATCTTGATGAAGTCCCAATAGTTCATTTTTGCCCTTATTTCCATTGCCTTTGGCGATGTGTCTCGAAGAAGTTGCTATGGCTGTGGTCAAAAAGGTTGCTGCCTGTGTTCTCCTCAAGGATTTTGATGGATTCCTGTTTCACATATAGATCTTTCATCCATTCTGAGTCTGCTTTTGTGTCTGGTGTGAGGAAATGGTCCAGTTTCATTATTCTGCATGTGGTTTTCCAATTTTCCCAACACCATTTGTTTAAGAAACTGTCTTTCTCCACTGGACATACTTTCCTGCTTTGTTGAAGATTAGTTGACCGTAGAGTTGGGGGTCCATTTCTGGGCTCTCTATTCTGTTTATTGATCTGTGTGTCTGTTTTTGTGCCAGTACCATACTGTCTTGATAATTGCTGCTTTGTAATAGAACTTGAAGTCTGGAATTGTGATGCCACTGGCTTTGCTTTTCTTTTTCAACATTCCTCTG